CGGGTAATCGGTCAGCGACGCTGCTTCTTGCTTCGGGTCCGCTGGCGGCTTCAAAGCCGCGGAGCCCATGAACCGAGAAGCGTTCTGGTCGTCGGCACGACAGTCGGATGGGATGCCGAGAATGCTGAAGAGATCCGACGGCGAGGAGGCGGCCAGCTGATTCCCCGCGAATGGGCGAGATGGAGCTGGAGGAGCGGCAGGAGGAGCAGCAGCTGCAGGGGCAGGCATCTGTAGGCTTTGCGGGTTAGACTGGACTGAACGACGGTTGAGAGCTCCGGGGAAGGAGACGCCGAGGAAATCGGACTGCGGGTTGGGATTGCCAAGAGACGCGGCGATGTCGGGAGGGAATCCGGCGGCTGCAAGCGCGGTCGCGTCAGGCGTGGGAAAAGATTTCGCTTTCAGGGCATTGTCGGTGAAGAGATCGGATAGAAACGCTCCGGGGACTGTTTGAAGCGCCGCGAAGAGCGAGCGGATGTGAGAAACGAATTTCAAATCCTCTGGCATCTGCAGAACACGGAGAGACACCAAATGTTAACCCGGGAAGCCCAAAAGTCGATCTACTTAACGGCGGAAACAGCTTTCGAGACTGACCGATCGACTGGAACCGAGTTGTAAGACTCCCTCCGGAACGGCGATGATGGCGATAGTCTGTCAAGACAAAAACAGCAGTTTCGTAGCGTTAGTAGACCGAAACCAGCAAGCGGTTCACAAATTCGAACAGAATCTACGATACGCACCTTCACTCCAGCAGCAAATTGATCATCCCATCCAGATGGATACTGGTAGGAGAAAAAACACAAGGAAGACTCACGTCAGAAACACCGCCTAGTACAAACGGCAAGACCAACAAAGTTTGCCGGGAAAATCAGATAAGCATGGAAGTTAGATAAACACCTTGTCGACACCCGTGCAGCCCCCGTATCCCTTCATGGACGAAAATCCCGGGCGAGAATCCATGCCCGGGACTCCTTGAGATCGCGGAGCAAATATCCATTGATGCTTCCCAGAGAAAGCCACTCTTCCCACAACTCTGAGAAGCAGAAGAAACAATAGGGATGATCTGAGTCGCCAATGGTAACAGCAGACTTTCCAGTTTCAATGATGCTGCACAGTCAGGCACGGATAAATTTCGAGAGACAAGCCGACGAAGACACTGTCTTGAGTTACAGGAAACCTAGACACTAACGAACTAGTGCTCACCCTTCTCCGAAAGAATATATGTGATAAGACATCTTCGCGACCGCCATGCCGAGCACGTTCCCGTCAATGCTGCTAATATCCGCGCTCTGCTCCTTTTGAGTCGCTCCCGGGGGATCCATCGAACAATATCCATCCTCCCAAGTCAAGACCCTGAACCAATTAGTGGGAAGCAGCGTTAGCAAACACGATATTGCTGAAACTGCTGGAAAACCTGTAAGGATGTGAAAATTCCCAGCGTACATTCGGTTGCGTCTTTTGAGCTTCCAGAACACTGCATAGGTCCATCCATTTGGTGAGCATAAACTCCTAAGCGTCTGCCGTAATATAACCATGGTCGCAACCGCGGCTTCGTTGCCGACAAGTAGAGAATAAAACAGACTACTCAGACCCTTCGGAGATGCTCCTCGCACCTCTCAAGCGTTTGTTCTACACACACGTCTGTTTGTCTACTGGGACCAAAAGTCACGGAGAATGAAACCCTAGAGCACACTGGAGTACGTATGAGTTGTTGAATTGAGTGCTAATTAGACCAAAACTCAGACGGGAAGGAAGAAAATGGAACCTAAGGACCATAAACGGAGAACTAACCGTACTAAAGTCTGCTGGTAGTACTTGACGGCGCGTGGATGGGCTTGATGATTTGATAAGGCAGAATAGGACTAGGGTTTGCTGATGTCTGAGGTGAGGAGGGATGCAGTTTTGATTGCACAGCGGAGAGGGTTTGCTCTCTGGACTGAAGGTCACAACCGACGGATCTCGATTCTTCGTTGCATCTCGGGCAGGAGGACGAAGCCAAAGTCGAATTGTGGTTGGCCCGGGATGAGCGGAAGGGTCAGGACTCAGGACTCTGTCGGTGAATGAGCAGCAGCAATGCCACTAGGAGGTGCCTCGACGATCTGCGGGCAGACCAAGGCGAAATGTGACTCGAAGCCGAAGCCGAAGCAGTGACTGCATGAAACAGTCACTCCGTCGTCGTGTCGTGTGGGGTGACAGGTTGGGGCGGGGGGTGGCTACAGTCGAACACCAGCAAGGAAAAACCGCGGCAAGGGGAAACCAACGGGCTGGCAAGTAACCTGCTTGCAGTTTGATGCAAGGATCCTATCACAGCAGCTCTGATTTTGTTCACATCACGAATCACTTCACCACCGTCGTGGGTCGAGGTCAGCATTTCCATTTGATTCGAAATAAAAGATTTTTCATACGCGTACACGTTGAGCACAGCCCGTTCCCCAAAAAATGAGGCGCTGGTTTTGACTCAAATTGAGCTGTCTCTGTTGAACTTGTGACAAAACACGAGCTTCCGAATCAAGCGTTGTGGTATTTCTCAGCGGAAACGGGTCGTCAGGCCTGACGACCTGTGACGACCTGACGACCTGCTGCCCGGGGCAGAAAAAAACTAAAACCCTATCGGATGGCATGCCATCCGAGGGAGGCATCAACCCTAAATCAGAGGGAGGCATGGATTTAGGGTTGATGCCTCCCTGACCGGATGCATGCCCGACTGGGGTTTATTTTTTTGCCCGCGGGCAGCGAGCTCCCCCGGGCGACGACCTGAACGAGCTGAGATATTTTCGGCGGCGGCTCTCTCCTCAGCGATGGTTGGTTGTACAAGATCAGCAGATTCTGGAAAACTTTCAAGTTTGTACCCTTAACAGCTGCCTCTTTGCAATACATAAGAGCTTCCGCATCCTGAGACAGGCAAATCATACATCCTGGGTGTACTCTTTTCAAGCTGCCTAATCAGATCCATGCTTGCCAGATTGATGTGGGTCAGGCGCTGCGTCAATTTTCCTGAGGCATCATCTTGGATTGGTTGGGTTTAGGGCGTTGCACAAGGCAGTTTCCAGGGATGTGGTGGCACTGAGGCACATTTTTAGTGGCGGCGAAAGAGGGAGGTGTTTCTGCAAGCACAAAATTTACCTCTAACAACAGCAGCTGCGTAAACCTCTAGAATCAGAGCATTTGCGCTCAGAACTTCCGATATCGATCAGCACGTACTGCATTTATCCATTATCTTACCGCTGGTTTCTAAGACCCGAACTAAAGAGCTTCTGGTAGTAAATAAACGATCAGCTTTATCGGCAGCAGCTGTGCGCACCAACTCTTGATCGTGTGAACTGAAACTAGCAGAGGCTTACTCCCCTAGACCCGGCAAGGCAAGGTGTCAACTTTATTATCGCTGTAAACGAGCTATGGGAAAGACTAAATACGTGGTCGTGACTGGAGGTGTCGTGAGCGGATTGGGGAAGGGAGTTACAGCAAGCAGCATCGGTGTTGTTCTAAAAGCATGCGGCCTCCGGGTCACTTCGATCAAGATCGGTACGAGAAATGTCGTGGATATGTATTTGATACGAATAGTTTGAATGCTCTCGTCGTAGCTACATGCCGGTGTCGCGTCATTTATCAGCCAGTTCGAGCAGTTGCTGGTACGGAGCACCAGATTCGAAGCCAGCACCGTGGTAACTCTGTCACCGCTTCGTTCGTTTCGCGAGTGTTCGCAGATCCGTACATTAACACGGACGCGGGGACCATGTCGCCATTCGAGCACGGCGAAGTGTTTGTGCTGGATGACGGCGGAGAGGTGAGCGAGGGAGTACCGGGACTTAGAGGTGATCAGGATGTTTCAAGGGGAGAGGTTTAACAGCCTTTTCACCTCAGTCTGTTGCAAATAAAAAAACGTTCAACAGCTTTATGAAGGAAGCGCCGGTAGCTCATTTTGATCCCATTGGCGAAATCAGGTTCTGCCGACGATCAGGCTCAGCATTCGAAGGCTACGTTTCCAGTTGTAAACGCTTTGGCCGGCATTGCGCCCCTGCTTTTCCTCCCGCATCAGGTGGATCTGGATTTGGGAAACTACGAGAGATTCCTCGACATCACGCTCACGCGAGATAACAACATCACGACTGGCAAGATCTATCAGGTAGCCTGCCTGCCTTGCCTTGCCTTGCCGTGCCTTGCCTTGGTACATACTCCCATTAGTCGTCTATCAGTCCGTACAGTCGTTTCAGCTCATTATTCCAGTTACTAGTCGTCAGATGCGTTTTGGGAATGGTCGATTCATCGTTTTGCCTTCCCCTTCCCACTCTGTTCCTTTCCACGTGGCAGTCTGTAATTGAACGGGAGAGGCGTGGTGACTACCTCGGCAAAACAGTCCAGGTGAATACGATTACGGCTATCCACAGCACGTGACCATTCCAAACCTGCATTTGGCAATACGATTGGTATGAGGTTTAATGTGATTGATCTAATATGATGCCGTTGTCTTCATATTGTATCAGCATTGTGGAGCATGACCGTTAAAATAAACCCTGGACCCGTTGCTGCCTTACCATGTGACATCTCAGGGCTTAACCACTGTCATGACAAAACCCTAACCCAAACCGAAACCCTCAACCCTTTCAACTTTATACATCTCCCCTCCACCTCCCACCGTTCACCCCCGCTTTTCTGCTGCCGCACATGAATACGGCCAATCAGCAGCTTTTAGCTCAAGGATCGGGGTAGGTAATGTCTGTGAACCTCCCTCCCCTCCTCTCCCATTCCCACGACCTTTCCCCTTCCGCTCCGCCTCACCCCACCCTTTCCTCTGTCCACCGGTGGTGGTGCCAGACACCACGTCCAACCAGGACTGGATAGAGTGAGGGGCACAAATTTCACTTGATGTCTTAAACCTCAAACCCTCTACCCTCTACTTCCAACCCCACCCCTCAAACCTTTAACTCTCCCTTTCCCGCAGGTGGTACCGCACATCGCCACGGCCATTCAGGGCTGGATAGAGCGCATTGCGCAGGTTCCAGTTGATGCCTTCAACCCGAAACCCGCCATCCATGCCCCTCACCGCTCCCCTTTGCCCCTGCCTCTGTGCACCTCAGGTGGTACCGCACATAACCACGGCCATTCAGGACTGGATAGAGCGCGTGGCGCAGGTACCTGTGGACGGCAGTGGGGAGAGTGCTGACGTCTGTGTCATCGAGCTGGGCGGCACTATTGGTGCGTCGGACGGCAATGGTGTCCTTGCATGCAGCGCAGGGTGTCAATATATATATATCCGTGATGGGCTTGATTGTCTGGTGTTGTTGCCCCGGCCAGGCTGCCACCCGTGGATTTCTACTGATGTTTTCTCCCTCGTTCCTCTCCATGCACCCTTGTTTCCCGTACCTCTCTCCCCAGGTGACATCGAATCTATGCCCTTCGTTGAAGCTCTTCGTCAGTTTCAGTTCAGAGTCGGTACGTACCGTCCTGCCCTTCTTTAGAACCGTTACGTGCCTCTCTCCATCAGACCATCATCATCACTATCACTATCGTCCACGCCGTCTCTTGGTTACATGCCAAGCAAGGATATGAGTCAAGCAAGCAGGCGTGGTGAGGCACATGAGCATGCTGATGGTGCTGGGCGGTGATGGGATGTTCATTTGAGACCTAACCTCCCCTACCCTCTCATCTCTCCCTCCTCCTCCCTCCACCCATGCAGGGCAGGAGAACCTGTGTCTGGTGCACGTGAGTCTGGTGCCAGTGCTGGGAGTGGTGGTGGGAGGTTTAATCAGCTCCCATTTCCTACTTTCTCTTCTCCCCCACCTCCTTGCATTCGCTGTGCAGGGCAGGAGAACCTGTGTCTGGTGCACGTGAGTCTGATGCCGGTGCTGGGAGTGGTGGGCTTGGCTAACCATCACAACAAGTCTACTTCCTTCTTCCTCCATTGCTTCCATCACTCTCTACCTCCGTGCAGGGCAGGAGAACCTGTGTCTGGTGCATGTCAGTCTGGTGCCGGTGCTGGGAGTGGTGGGAGAGCAGAAGACCAAGCCCACGCAGCACAGTGTGCGCGAGCTCAGAGCGCTCGGCCTCATGCCCAACCTCCTCGCCTGCCGCAGCGCTGAGGTAACACATGCAACACGGTTAGGGTGTATTTACATGTACACGTATGACTTGTGAGTCGACTCAACAGCATGTGTGAGCTCAGAGCGCTCGGCCTCATGCCCAACCTCCTCGCCTGCCGCAGCGCTGAGGTAACACATGCAACACGGTTAGGGTGTATTTACATGTACACGTATGACTTGTGAGTCGACTCAACAGCATGTGTGAGCTCAGAGCGCTCGGCCTCATGCCCAACCTCCTCGCGTACTGCAGCGCTGAGGTACACTTTCAACGTGCTTATTGTGTAACTGCGATACATGTACGTATGAACGTGTATGTATACATATTTTTTCTCTTTTTTTTTTTTTGGTACCACTTGTCACTACATGGTCTGCCAGTCACCTCTGCTGGAGGTGACTGCAGAGGAGGATTTATGTTACACCACACACACACACACACACACATCCCTGGCCCCTATTGGCCCCTCGACTCCTGTCAACTTCTCTGTCCGACCCCCCCCCCCCCCCCCCCCACACTCTTTCTCCCTCGGCCTTCGCATCTGTTCTCAAATTCCTGTGCTCGTTTCTGCTGTGCCCCCCCTCACTCCACCCTGCTTCTTCTCCTGCCAGCCCCTAGAACCCTCCACGCGAGAGAAGCTGTCGCAGTTCTGCCACGTGCCTGTGAGTGCCTGCAGGGGGATGGGGGTTCTGCCACGTGCCTGTGAGTGCCTGCAGGGGGATGGGGGTTCTGCCACGTGCCTGTGAGTGCCTGTAGGGGTGTTGGGGGAGGGGTTGGGTCTCACGGCACCTCTTGGGGCTGGGAAAGGGAAAGGGGAGAAGGGGTGGAGGGTTGTTGGGAAATACGTTCCGCACCACGTGGTGCACTCTCATGGGAGGCTTCGTTTCTTTGTCATGCTCTCGCTCTCGCATGCCCTCATACCCGAATGCCTCTCGCTCGCCCACCCGCCTATGGATGAACGCAGGTGCAAAACGTGCTGAACCTGCATGACGTCAAGAACATCTGGCACATCCCGCTGCTGCTGCTCGTGAGTCTTGCCACCGACCCATCTCACATCCCTGGGTCTACCTTCGCGAGGAAAAAAAGGGATTTTATAAGGCTTGGTGGGATTTCATCTTGTATCTCTGAGTCCGATTGTTAGAATTGTCTGCTTCGCTTGGGCGCCAGCACCTACTAGAAGTTCCCCTCTCCTCCTCACTCCTCCCCATCCCCGCTTCTGCTAACTCGTTTCTGTCCCCCCTCTTCTTCCCCTCACCCCCCTCTTCTCTCCTCCTTATCCCATCCCGTCAACGCCCTCTCCCCCTCACACCCTTCTCTCTCCCTGCTTCTCTCTCGCGTGTCTCTCAGGAGCAAGGCGCCCATCTGTCCATTCTCAAGCAGTTCCAAATCGAGTACGTTCCCTGCCCTCTCACTGACCGAAAGTGTGAGCCACCCTCTTCTTGATTTAGCTTTCAACTCTGGAACCACGTGGATCTAGAGGGTGTGATCTCACTGACCGAAAGTGAGAGAGAGTGGCTGACCGAAAGTGAGAGAGAGTGGCTGACCGAAAGTGAGAGAGAGTGGCTGACCGAAAGTGAGAGAGAGTGGCTGACCGAAAGTGAGAGAGAGTGGCTGACCGAAAGTGAGAGAGAGTGGCTGACCGAAAGTGAGAGAGAGGGTGTGATCTAGATCTTCCTCCATCTCTGCACTCTTCTTCCGTGATTTTCGGGAATATACAATTTTTAAAGTGAGAGTGGCTGACTCATCCGACCACCAACCAATGCGGACCCTCCTGTCTGCCTGCCCACCACCCACCTCACAATACCTTTGTTATCCTCCGACGCAGGCCTTCCGAGCCTCAGCTCCAGGAATGGGCGCACCGAGCCAAGAGCTGGGACGAACTCACAGAGACAGTGAGTGCGGAGTTTGCTGGTGGTGTGAACATTGGTAGGTTGACTGTTGCTTGGTTGACCATTGCTCCCTCCTTCCCTCCCCTACACCCTGTTCCACTCCTTTCCAGCCCTTTGTGTGCCACGTCAGCAGGGTGAGAGTTGCCATGGTGGTCATTGTAGTCCTTGCTGAATTCAACAAAATATGTATACATATTTATATGTATCTATATTTCCCCAATACCCATGGTCGGCCACGCAAGCAGGTGAGCATCGCCACATGGGAACCTTCCCATCCTCCCTCTTCTCTCACCTTTCCACCCCCCACCTCCCCGGCCGCCCATGTGTGCCATGCTATGCCATGCCACCAGGTGAGCATTGCCATGGAGGGCAAGTACACAGGCCTCTCCCCGTAACCCTCCCTCCCTCTTCTCCCACCTCTCCGTCCGTCTCTCCCACTTGTCTCGCCCATATCCACCATGCCACCAGGTGAGCATTGCCATGGAGGGCAAGTACACAGGCCTCAACCCCTAACCCTCCCTCTCTTGTCTCGCACCTCTCAACCCCCCCCATGCCCTCTCTCCCTCACCTCTCCACCCCTCTGTGTGCCCCATGCCACCAGGTGAGCATAGCCATGGAGGGCAAGTACACGGGCCTCTCTGACTCCTACCTCCCTCTTCTCTCACCTCTCCAACCCCCCACCTCTCCTTTCTTCCCCGCCTCCCCACCCTCTCTGTGTGTGCCATGCTGTGCCATGCCACCAGGTCAGCATTGCCATGGTGGGCAAATACACGGGCCTCTCCGATTCCTACCTCTCAGTGCTCAAGGTATGCACTACACAGCCTGCCTGCCACGCTACAGCCTTTCCATTCTTTTCCATTCTTTTCATTGTGTTCCTTTCCCGTTGGCTTCCTTTCCAGTTGTTTCCACTCCACTCCTCCCTCATCCCCTCTCTCTGCGTGCAGGCGCTACAGCATGCAGCCATGGCAAGTGGGCGAAAGCTCATCATCGAATGGGTGGCATCATCTGACCTCGAGAATGCTGCCAAGCAAGAGGTGCGTGCAGTCCCTGCCAGCCATATGCTGCCAAGCAAGAGGTGCGTGCAGTCCCTGCCAGCCATATGCTGCCAAGCAAGAGGTGCGTGCAGTCCCTGCCAGCCATATGCTGCCAAGCAAGAGGTGCGTGCAGTCCCTGCCAGCCATACGCTGCCAAGCAAGAGGTGCGTGCAGTCCCTGCCAGCCATATGCTGCCAAGCAAGAGGTGCGTGCAGTCCCTGCCAGCCATATGCTGCCAAGCAAAAGTGTGGGCTTACAGCTTCCAGTCTCACGTCTCCCCCCAATACCAGCCAACACAAACCGTTTGAGATTTCAAAACAACACGAGCTGATTGAAGTAAGGCCTCCGCCGCAGCCCGCCTGTCCGTTACTGACGCGATTAGGCAACACAAACTGTCTGAAATTTGAAACCTGCAACCAACTCTCCAGCCTAATACTCCCTGCCATCTTTTGCCACGTGGTTTCCATGCCTCCTACTGTGCGCCCCTGCATGCTCCCACCAGAGTCCAGACCTGTACAATGAAGCCTGGGCAGCCTTGAAGGTGAGTGTTCATGCACTCACATGCCTGGACTGACATGCCGCCATTTATCATGCCATGCCACCCTGGCTAGTGGATGATTTTCTAGGCGCCGCAAAGAAGGTGAGTGTTTACGCACTCACGAGGCACTGACTTGCCACCATGTATCATGCCATGCCATGCCACCCTGGCTAGTGGATGCATCAAGGCAATTTGCTAATTGCAAGGCAGGTACGTTAAGGCTCGCTAGGGTACCCCTTACCTGCTCGGCCTTCACCCATTCCTGTTTAATACACTGCGCTGATCGCCGGCAATCATCAATGATCGCTCGTTCTTTTGAATGTGCGCGGAGAGGAAATGGGGTTTTGGTGCCTGGTGGCTTGGGAGACAGAGGCGTGGATGGGGTGTTGGAGGCCAAGATGACATCAAGTCGACTCAGTCAACTTCTGCTCATGCGTTGTTTTTCGCCTTGCCTCCTGCCTATCCTGTCTTGCCTTGCATGTGTGCAGAGAGCGGATGGGGTGTTGGTGCCGGGTGGCTTTGGAGACAGAGGCGTGGAGGGCAAGATCCTTGCAGCAAACTACGCCCGAACCAACCGCGTGTCGTACCTGGGGATTTGCCTCGGCATGCAGATCGCCGTCATTGAGTACGCCCGGAATGTAAGCACCTATGTTTCCTCTTGAGCCCTCATTGAATCTGAGTGCTTATTCTTCGGCGCCTCAGTGAGAGCCATTGAATCCCTGGTGCGAATGAGTTGCACGAATGTAAACACCAATGTTTGGCATGAGAGTGCGAGCAGCACAGCCTCTTGGTTTTGGAAAAATCGCTCTGGTAGGATTACACCAAGACCTTTGTTCCTATCTGGTGGAAAAGTGCACTCTGAGGTGCTGGCAGGGCGAGCAGGACCGAGGTTGACCCAGCATCACCTGTCGCATCCCCCCCCCTCCCTTCTGGCTGCCTTCCTGCAACCCACCCCCCACTCCAACTCACAGGTGTTGGGCCATGCGAAGGCGAGCAGCACGGAGTTCGACCCAGCATCACCGCACCCGTGCATCGTCTTCATGCCTGAGGTATCCAAGACGCACATGGGCGCCACCATGCGCCTGGGCGCGCGAGACACAGTCCTCCACTCGCCCACCTGCCTCGCTGCCAAGCTGTGAGTCCTCCCTGCTGCACCCTTCTGCTCTCTGCTGCCCCCTGCTGCCCCCTGCTGCCCCCTGCTGCCCCCATGAATCTGTGCCAATCCTCTTTTGAGTCGGCTGCCCCCATGAATCTGTGCCAATCCTCTTTTGAGTCAGCTGCCCCCATGAATCTGTGCCAATCCTCTTTTGAGTCAGCTGCCCCCATGAATCTGTGCCAATCCTCTTTTGAGTCGGCTGCCCCCATGAATCTGTGCCAATCCTCATGCTCCAAGCAAATCCTCTCATGAGACACACAGTCGTGCCATTACAATCACGCAGGCAGCTTAATCGCACCGCTAAAACCATGCCATCACAATCATGCCACTACTATCCCACCAGGTACGGTACGGCACTCAGAGCAGTGTGAGTGAGCGGCACCGGCACCGCTACGAGGTCAACCCCGACATGATCGACGAGTTTGAAGAGGCTGTACCCGTGCTTCCAGCCACTCTAACCGTGCATACCTCTATCTTCATGCTCCGCTGTACCCACCCGCCAGCTACGGCACTCACAGCAGTGTGAGTGAGCGGCACAGGCACCGCTACGAGGTCAACCCCGACATGATCGACGAGTTTGAACCTGTTCGTCGCTCCACCCACCCACCCACCCACCCACCCATCAGGTACGGCACTCACAGCAGTGTGAGTGAGCGGCACCGGCACCGCTACGAGGTCAACCCCGACATGATTGACGAGTTTGAAGCTGCGGGACTGAAATTTGTTGGCCGCGACGAGTCCGGGCGCCGCATGGAGGTGAGCAGTGCTCCTGGCATGCAGGAGGGTGGGCTTAATGGCAAAGCGAGAGCTCGGAACGAATCTGGTTGGCGCATGGAGGTGAGTAGATTCGAGCAGGAGAGCTGGTCGTGCTTTTTGAATCGTGCAGCGGCTTTTTTTTCTGGTTGTGAACGGTTTTTTTTGGTAGTAAAGGAGGAAATGTCACTGGTGGCACTGCTTTTGGGGGGTTGCATGAGTTACTTTGAGTTGCTGTAGGGTTTGGCGAAGAGGATTCGCACTCTTCCCTTCTCTTCCCCTTCCCTCTCTTTCTCTTTTGTCAGCTACAACCGTTGTCTACATTCCACACATTAAATACCATTTCAACCGCCTTACACCGCTCTCTGCTTCCTGCCTTCCTCCCCTGCTCGTCTCCTCCACTCTCAACCGTCAGATCCTGGAGATCCCATCGCATCCGTACTTCCTGGCCGTCCAATACCATCCAGAGTTCAAGTCCAGGCCAGGGCGGCCGTCCCCTGTCTTCCAAGGTATGCCCTCTCATGCTCTTTTTCTCGGCCCTCTAGGCTCCCATCCATTTATCTTGCCTTCCAAGGTATGCCCTCTTATCCTCTTCGTCCCAATTCTTTAATTTTGACTTCTAATGTGTTTCCTCCAGCCCCCCTTACTGCCTGTCCTTTAAGACTCTGCTGTTAGTATAAGTTTTGGAACCTTACTATCTCAGATCTCTCTCCAGCTACACCAACCCCCCAGTCTTGCCTGTCATCACACTTTGCTCTTCCCTTCTCGATCTCTTCCGCCCTTGCTTGCCGTTCTTGGGTCCTCTCTTCCCACCAGGCCTAATCCTTGCAGCCTCAGGCCAGCTACAAAGCTACCTGGATTCTCTCTGACGCACATAAGCCTCTAGGTGTGGGGACATGGGACAGGGCATGGCAGTCAACGTGCCGCAATCTAGAGCATAGCAAGATTAGTGCACCTTACCCTGCAGTTGCTGCTGCTGATACAGTACTTGCTCCCTACAGTCAGAACTGCAGAGCAGTCAAACAGCGGCGCATCTGTGATGCAATGCACTTTTCAATAAGAGCAATGGCACAAGTTTTACTGCGGGGAGAATACAGACAATTATTATCAGCTTTGATTAACAGGTCTAAGCCGTATAAGCAGGCGCATATTCGCGGTATGAGGCCAGGAGAGCACAGCACATTCACTTCACACTCCTTCCAGCAGCAGGATTTGATCCCATGACCTCATCAGAACAAACCTGCATCCAACTCTCCCTTCCTCCTAACCCCCAAGACCGGACTCCTTACCTTCACAAGGGGCACTGGTCCCACACATATCTCCCCTCCCGTCTTGACCCCCATGGATTTGAGAGCACGCGCGTAGATATCAGCATGTGAGTCATACACACTTCGCCCCCCACCAGGGCTGGATCCCTGGAGAATCTCGTTGCACTGCTGCATCAAGCCGTCCCTTCTTGAACCAGACGGATCCGACACACCTCGCGTTGCTGCGTGCTGAGCTGGCACTGCCGCTGTTGCTCCTCCTCCCAGCGCCTGCTGTGTTGGTGCTGCTGCTGCTGCTGCTGCTGCTGCTGCCGTTGCTGCGTTTGAAGCACACACAGCCACTTCTGCCTCTGCTCCTGCTGCTGCCCTTGTCACGTGCTGCTGCTGTTGCCGGAGAAAAGATCTGCTCCCAGTGGGGGTGACATCGTTACAGCTCCAATTCCTGCGAGGAATGCTCGCGCCTTCCATGATGCTGCCACTGTTTCTCCTTGGATTTGATAAGATTGAATCCAAGGGCAGTTTTCTTGCATTCAAGGCCTCCCTTTTCAAGCTACTCACGCCCCCACCATTCACGCTCCCACCATTAAAGCTTCCCGCATCCCCAGCCGCATAGAAAGCTGTAGCAAGGCACGAGGACCACACATCAGGCGACCATGCGACGTCAGGCGACCATGCGACGGCAGGCGATTCCAACTCACGAGTGCACCATGCTTTTTCGACACCCGCGCTTTGCCGACCGGCGCGGCCCGAAGCGCTCTTAGTAATAGTACCCTCCAAAACGGCACCTTCAACAGCGGCGCCGCCCGTGATCGTCGCCTCGAGGGGACTTCCGGGTCGGAAGGGCCGCTCCCGACGACCATAGGCCGCATGATGATGCTCGTTGGAAACTTCAAGCTGCGATGATGGGAGTGGCTTTGGCGCGTTTGAAACTTCAAAGTTTGACGAGTCGTCATGCGGCTGGCCACGCGCCGCGCTACTCGATGATAGTGGTACTTTGTGGTCATTGCATGCAGCGTTATCACGTATTCCGCAATGATTCGATGGAGCCACGATTTGCGCCGCAGACGCCGCCGCTGCCGCCGCCGCCGCTGCGGTAACGGCTTCCGATGCGCCGCCTGCGGCTCCCAAGATGATCTGGTAGCGCTCCGTAAACCTTGCAAAGGGATCCTCCGAGGAGTCCGCGCTGCGTGTCGCTTGGACGAGAGGAGGAGAAGCTTCGTGACTCAACCAAGCCGCGCCGGGATGACGGACGGTTGCGGGGACAATACTTCTGCCGCTGGAAGCGCCTCGCTGATCACTGATCGCTAAAATGGCAATTTGGGGGGAGCGGTTTGTGCCTGGGGCTGTTTCTCGACTCTTTGCAGCGCTGATAGTCTGCGCAACTTCCGCCAACGCCGCTACGTTGGCAGAACGCGCCGCCACGAAACCTGCCGCCTCGATGGTTCTCTCTCTTATTGATGCGGCTGGATCGGGTTCGACGTATTGTCGACGTGATTTCTGTTTGCTATTATTGAGAACACCGAGCGAGAGCGAGAGTGTCAGATCGACGTCAGCTTCGCCGATCCGTGCGGCGTCTGCTGCGGCTTTGTTCGCGCAAATCGGAGGCTCGTCTTCAGGAAAAGATCCATCGATGGAGCGGGGATGAGGCGACCGAAGGTTAGCGTCGGATGCGGGATCAAGTATCGCTTCGCCCTCGTGACGCATCCGTTTGGGCTGAGGTCCGCAGGAGACACATTTGACGGCACAATCCATCGAAATCGAGTTACAACCGTCTGAACACTGACGTGATAAAGAGAAGCGACTGTGCTCGCCGCGTGAAGACAGGCCCGAGAAAGGTGATTTGGTGCTTGTTCGGTTGGAGCAGCAAAACGTGGGTTTTGGTGCAGCAAAATGCTGACTGGGAAATGCTGAACAGCAGCAGTGATCTAACGGGGATTGAAGAAGCATTTCCAATTTCGCAATGCGCGATTTTCTCGCGGCGGCAAAGTGGGAACCGACATGGTCATGACGGAGTTTTGTGACGGGCAGAACTACCATACTTCATTGTAATCGGTGTACACACTCCGTGCTCTATTTTCCCAACCTTCGACTGTAACAATTTTAGCTACTCGCTTTGTTTGATTGAAAGAATGTAGAATGTACTGACACTGAGATAGGAAATCCGCGAGAACTGAGAAATTCCGTTGCTGGCCTCCGGAAGACAAGCATAGCCCCGACGCAGAGGCTCTGTTGGCGTTCATTCCCAACGCGATTTCGTTTTTGGGGGGGATAGAGTCCAGGGGCGGGGTCAGATCGCGACACGGTGACTCCCTCCAGTCCCGACTCCCGAGAAGTGGGGCAGATTTCGGTTTCATGTACGTGTATTGGATACCTCACGCGTGGCAGCAATGGTGTCACCGCGTCGAGGCACTTGCGATGCGTGAATTTTCGGGGCGTGACCTCAGCATTTCGGAAATTGGGGCGACCAACTATGGCAGTGCTTTGACCTGAGGACTGCTGGCATGACAGGGGTTGGTCCCTGTCTATTAGCTGGCGGCCTGCGTCCGATTGTTCCGCACGAGCGAAGGGAGTGAGGTTGGAAGGGCCAACATCATAGACATGCAGATTTGTATGGTAACCCTATCCAATGGTATGCAAAACCGTCTTACCTCAGTTTTGGATGTATCGACATGCTGCCCTATTACCGCGTTTGTTTTTATTTCAAACAGTGATCCCTACCGCGCTTGCCTTCGCACTAAGACGTTATTTCTTCGGGCCAAGAAAAACATAAAACCCAATCGGAACGGGATGCGTCAGGGAGGCATCAACCCTAAAAACAATGTCCTTTCCCGTGTTTAGGGTTGATCCCTCCCGGAAATGAGTCCAGTTCCCTAGGGGTTTTTATTGTTTTCCAGCCCTGGCCTAACACTTCTAAGTAGCAATATATTGGGTGCAATATATTGTTACAAAACGGACCCCGTATAATTTCATTCCAATGGATTGGATTCTTTCGTAAATGTATCGTGCACATTCAGCGGAGAATAGTAGCCTGGAGGAATATTTGTTAGACGCCAAACGGGGCGCGGTAAGAACCACGAAAATACGAAATCGAAAATGCAACCGATTACATCTCATATTTCTTCCTTTTTTGTGCTGCGTCAGCTGTTACACAGTGTTTTTAGTGGCGCTACCAGACAAACTTGCGCAGCAGAACTAGGGTATCGACGGTTTTGCATACCGTTGGATAGGGTTACCATACTAATTTGCATGTCTATGATGTTGGCCCGAGTTGGAAGGAAGAACGCCTGGTCAGATATTTCGCGGAACCCAGCACAGACAAGAACGGTTGCGTCTGTAACGAACAAGGCCACAAGCATTGGTCGCATTCAATGAGGGGCAAGGAGCAGCTGTTTGCTAATGTCAAACGAGGTCACCCTACAAGCCTCCCGAAAAAAAAGGCTCGCATGAAACCATCACAATTGGCAGGGGTTCCAGACAATCAGTAAACAGACTGGCCCTGCTTGAGAACCAGTTTGTGACTGCTGATGCTTAACCAGCCATAATTCCACTGTCTGTGCTAGGTGCTGGTGTTTTAACTACAATATTCGAATCACTAGCTGAGCCCCTGGAATATTGATAGATTAACTCCATCGAGGCTCGGGCGCGTCGCACAACTTGAAATTTCCGACCCAGCAGTAACAACTTTCCTTTCTTGACTGCAACAAAACTGCAGTTTCCAGCTCAGCTATAGTTGGCCTGGTCTGGGATATGGTGGCTTCGCGCGGGTCGAGGTCCCAGACTCCCAAGCCGTGACTGCCAAGCGTGCAATGTCTGGCGAGGCAAAATACACGCGAACAAGAGATACACGTGTATAGGGTGCTCAATGCCTCAGTAGTGCAGTTCCGATATCCCAGACGCAATTCTTTTTGTTGTTAAAGAATCTTAGTGTAGTCTACAAACCCTAAGCCAACAATGCAGAGGCAGTCTTTCTCAAAATGTGCAACATGCGCAACTCATTGTACCATTAGGGTTTGTGCTAGATCACAAGTAATGCAACACTCTACATTTCAACCAAACACAGAAAAACACACGACAACTCACTAGCCCCGAATGCCAACCATCATGTGATCGGAATCATGCCGAAAGCAGAGAGCCGTAAGAACCAGCCCCAGTGTCACAGGCCAGGAGGATCCTACTGCATCAACCAAAGCCTGCCGTGCAACCACCGGTATGATAGCTCTGAGGCTCCCCAGTGGAGATTTCTCTGAGGCGCCTGAAAAGGCAGGAAGGTTCCAACAGTACCAGAGAGCCTGCCATGGAGCTCCACTGGGCTGTCCGAGAGACTCTCTGCTCTCCCCATGATTCATTCCAACGAGCCACATGATAGCCACCACTGCGGCTGAACCTACTCAAACCACTCCCCACTGCCCTTTACCCCCCATGCCCCCCCACTCCCTATTGAACCCCCAATCCAAACTATCTCAAACACAACACCTTCTCAACCCCCACTTACGCCCCTCTCCTCCTCACACCATGACCACCATCAACCTCCATCTTCCACTGGGCATCCATTACCCAGGGATTTACATAGTACACGGAATTCCATCGCCATAAACCACCTCATCCGATTATTCGTTCCGCCCGAATGACCACCAAGAGGAAAGGTCACCTAGAGATCCCACAGGTTGAACTCCGACAGCTGCAGAAACACAACAGCCCCAGGCCCCTCATGGGAACCCAGGCAAGCATGGGCTGTAGCCGCTACAGCGGGCAAGAGACATTATCATTCAGAGATCCCACAGGGTGAACTCCGACAGCTGCTGAAACACCCCAGCCCCGGGGCCCTCATGGGCTGTCCCCACTACAGCCGGCACAGAGCCTAGCATGTCCAAGCCATCGCAAAAACCAGCATGATCATCCAACATGAGCATGCGCCCATGTTCCATAGCCATCTTGCCTTCATATTCCATCCCCATCCCCATCATCCCCGTCTGCATCATCCCCGGCTCGTCCAGGGGAGTCTCGTGCAGCAGCGACGGCATGTTGCAGTCCAGGTCGCAGTCGCCGTCTAGCCAGAAGGAGAATGCGGAACGAGCCGTGGAGCCGTGCGCGTCAGTGTCAGTGTCAGGGTTCCTGATGCTGCCCTCCAGAAACGACTCCAGGCTATCCAGGCTGTCAAGCCTGTCAATACCATCGTGACCGTCGGTGCCATCGCCATTGCTGTCGCTGATGTCATTGCTGTTGTTGCCATCGTCGCTACCAGAGAAGCTATTGCAAGGCCCGGTGCTCTTCTCACTGCCCGAATCACTGCTCTTCCCCCCATCCACTGCAGCAAGAAGCGGCTTCAACGCCGCTTCCAAGTCGCTCTCCTGCAACCCCTCAGCACCGCACTCCACCGCTCCAGACTCCTCCGCACCGTCGCCAACCAGCTCCCCGACCCACTCTCCAGCCGCGAACCTCCTAGCAGCCGGCCCACCGGTCACCTCCACCATGCCCCCCTTGCCCTCCACAGCCTTAAGCGCCGCTGCCAGCTCAGCAACGGCGTCCTCCGCGCCCTGCCACGTGGCACACCCACGGGCCGCCGTCAGCAGCGCGTCGGCTGTAGCGGCCGGCATCAGCACGGGGAGCAGGGCA